AGATCGGGGCGAGGGTGCCAGATGGTGCCCTGTCCCTGAGAGAGTAGGTCCTCTCTCAAAGGGATCCGCCAGGGGAGGGCCGTCGCGAGGAGTGAGAGCTCTGATATCCAGGTCCGGTTGGGCCAAGGGGCGCAACTAGCAGAACCTGTTCCTCGTCCTCCCTGACCTTGCACAGAAACTGCGCGAGCAGGCTCACTGGGGGAAACGCATACTTGCGCATGCCCCGAGGCCAGCTGTGGGCCAGTGCATCCGTGCCGAGAGAGCCCTCGGTCAGGGAAAAAAACAACTGGCAGTGAGCGTTCTCGGGGGAAGCAAACAGATCGATCTGGGCCTCCCCGAATCGCGCCCATATCAGCTGAACAGACTCGGGGTGGAGTCTCCATTCTCCAGGGCGTAACAGCTGTCGTGAGAGCGCATCGGCTGCACGATTGAGCGTGCCTGGGACGTGAATGGCGCGCAGCGATTTCAGCCGCGGGTGACTCCAGAGGAGCAGACGGCGGGCGAGCTGAGACATGCGGCGAGAGCGCATACCCCCCATGCGGTTGATATACGCCGCCGCCGCCGTACTGTCCGTCCTGACCAGCACGTGTTGCCGCTCCAGCACCGGTAAAAAGCGGTGGAGAGCGAGGAACACTGCCAACAGCTCTAGGCGATTGATATGCCAATGCAGCTGGGCACCCTTCCAGAGGCCCGCAGCCGCATGCCCGCGACACACGGCCCCCCAACCCGTGTTGGAAGCGTCTGTTGAAACAACAACATGGCTGGACGCCTGTCCTAGAGGCACACCGGCCTGTAGGAACGAGGGGTCGTTCCAAGGGCTGAGGGCGCGGCGACACAGCGCAGTAACCGAGACCCGGTGTGTGCCCGCGTGCCATGCGCGTCTGGGGACCCGATCGTGAAGCCAGTGCTGAAGTGGTCTCATATGGAGCAACCCGAGCGGCGTGACGGCGGCTGCGGATGCCATATGCCCCAGGAGCCTCTGAAAGAACTTCAGTGGGACCACTAGTTTGCTGTCGAGCTCCCTCAGACAGTTCAGCAACAGGCGAGCGCGTTCCTCGGAGAGGTGCGCTACCATGGTGATCGAGTCCAGCTCCATCCCGAGAAAAGAAATCCTCTGCACGGGGGCGAGTTTGCTCTTTTCTCGGTTGACCTGAAGCCCCAGTAGGCGGAGATGCCGAAGCACCTCGTCCCTGTGCATAATCAATTGCTCCCGCGAGTGGGCTAAAATCAGCCAGTCGTCGAGATAATTGAGTATGCGAATGCCCGCGAGCCGAAGGGGCGCTAGGGCACCCTCCGCGAGTTTGGTGAAGACCCGCGGAGACAGAGAGAGCCCGAAGGGGAGGACCTTGTACTGCCACGCTCGACCCTCGAACGCAAACCGCAGAAATTGGCGGTGGCGTGGAAGAATGGAGACATGGAAATACGCGTCCTTCAGGTCTATGGCTGCAAACCAATCCCGAGGACGAACGCATTGGAGAATGCGCCTCTGCGTGAGCATTCTGAACGGCAGCTTGTGCAGACAGCGGTTCAAAACGCGCAGATCTAGGATTGGCCGTGACCCACCGCTCTTTTTGGGTACGATGAAGTATGGGCTGTAAAACCCACTCTCCATCTCGGCTGGAGGAACCGGCTCGATTGCACCCTTCGCCAGGAGGGCAGCAATCTCCTCTCGCAAGACAGGGGCGGACAGGGGGTTGACCCTGGAGAAATACACGCCCGTAAACTTGGGGGGCCGTTTCGCGAACTGAATCGCGTAACCGAGTCTGATTGTGCGTATGAGCCACCGCGAGGGGCTGGCCCGCGCTAACCAGGCAGGCAGAGCCCTCGCTAATGGAGTCATCGCTACAATCGCTGACGTACCAGCGGTGGGGCAGCGCGGAGTGGGTGTGCTGATCCGGGAAGCACGAGGGTCCCGCGGAAAAGCTGGAGGAGAGCGATTCGCTCTGGCTCCGCACCCTGACTCCGGAGAGGGGGCTGGAGGGCTGAGGGAAGGGAGACCGTCCCCCCAGCGCTCGTGAGCCACTGGCGAAGCACGTAGAGTCTGCGAGCCGGAAGGCAGCGCGTCCCGGACTGGCAGAACTCGTGCAGTCACATCCGGGGAAGGGAAAAAGTGCTCTTTTACTGATGTTTTGGTGGCACTGAAAAGTACCGTTGTTATCGGGGCCCCGCCCTCCAGCGGGGAAAGAGCAAGTTTCCTCTTCTCCGGATGGCCTGTCTCAGGGACGCTTCGCGGTCCGTTTACCGGACTTAACGGCGCCCTGGGCAGGAGGGGCTGCCTGCTTTCGAGGTGAACGCCGCGCCCGCTTGGCCGGAGGCGCAGGCGGGGGCGGGGCAGCACTCGTTGGCGGGCGCCCTCGGCGAGGAACAGCGGAGGTGGATGGCTCGGCGGGCGGAGCGGGCTTACGGCCACGCCGATAGATGACATTGCCCATCGCATCCGACTGCTCTTTCACCGCCTTGAATTCCTGGGTGAATTCACCCGACGGTGTCGCCGAACAGGCCAGCCTGGGATATGGGCGAGTCAAGAAAGCGAACTTTGTCAACGTCGCGCATATCGGCCCAGGTTTAGCCAGAGGTGGCGTTCCCCTGAACCCACAAGTGTGGACATCGTCCTCCCCAGCGCACACGCGGGCGGACTTAGTAGTCCGAAGAGCATAGTCGGTCGCGGTGCGCAGCTCATGTAATAAGCTTGGGTTGGACCCGCCCTCGTGCAGCTCGGCCAGCGCCTGCGCTTGGTAGCGCTGGTAGGTGGCCATCGCGTGCAAAGCAGAAGCAGCCTGGCCCGCAGCCTTATAAGCTCTGGCTCCGAGGGAGGCAGACAACCTACAGGCTTTGGACGGGAGGCGGGGCAAACCCCGCCACGTAGAGGCGCCGCGCGGACAAAGATTGACCGCGATAGCGCGCTTCACTGACGGGATCGCCTCATACCCCCTGGCAGCTCCGCCGTCAAGGGCGGTGAGGGCGGAGGCACTCGCAGCACGGGCAGAGAAGCTCTGGAGGACCGGACCCAAAGAACCGCAGGCAAGGGAGTAACCCAGCTCGACCGTCTGCCACCGCGAAGACCCACTCTGGACCGGGAGACACACTCGTTCGCTCTGAAGTGCTGATCAGCAAGAGGAACCCTCATCGACTCACTCAGAAAGGATCTGAAGCGAAAAGGATGGCGTCTGCTGGCTTCAGGTGTGCTTATATGCTGAGATGATTGCAGATGTCGCACACCTGCGCAAGCTTACGCTGCCAATTAATTTCATTCATTGGCCCGTTCAATACTCTCCAGATAAGCGGCTTCTGATCCGAATCCTCCCATTCATGGCACTGAAGTTCCCCAACCGAAGGGGAACATATTATTTTCTAGCCTACATAAATATGAAAAATCACTGCTTTTATGTCTTCTTCATCTCCGGAGGCTTTTTCAGTTCATTCATAACAATTTGCTTTTGTATAATGTTATTATTATTAGCAGTATTATTTAATATATCCATATCTATATTTGTTTTATTAAAAACAAGCTTAGATTTGCCCACCTGTCAGGTTTTAGACCATATCGGGCATGGCAGGTGTATTTGTAAATAACTCAGTATTTTGAACACACTTCGTTAATATTGTTCATTTATTCATTTGCTAGAAATTATAACTGAATTTAGAAATAGTTTTGAAATGAATATTTGCGCTTAACAAACAAAATTAATTATTTATAGGCTAATTGATGTCTGTTCGTAAAGGTTTCCCTATCCAAGAGCGAAAGTGAAAGTGATCCATTATCTCTCATTCTCACGCAGTAGATGCTCTGTTTAACAGTTTTCTGTTAAAAAAACTGTCAACTGTTAACTGTTTGCTTGTGAAATGCTCATTTTTTCCACTTAGACTTACTTTGCGTGATGTAAATAGCGAATGCGGTTATGGCGCGACGCAGCTGGGTCTTAAAGGGAATGGGAGATGAGACTCTAAATGGTTTAGTCTCAAAACACACCTATAACTCATTAAGAAAATAAACTCAACCCTTAAAGACCATGCGCCTTGGCGCAAAGCACATTTTCCCGTCTGTAAATTAGCAAAAATGCGTTCAGACATGCCCTGAAAGCGTTTGCGCCCTGCGTTTTGAGCTCTGGGCATGGACCGTCAAAATAGAGCCCCATGTGTTAAACTTCCCAAGGCCCCAATATAGGACATTCTTGTTTTTGAGGGGCCGAAGAGAATAATCTCAGTTTTGTCGTTATTAAGTTGAAGGAAGTTTTTTGCCATCCAACATTTCATATCCTCAAGACAATCAATTAGAGACTGCAGGGAGTTCTGAGATTTTAAAGAAACATACAGCTGAGAGTCATCTGCATAAAAATGAAAAGAGATGTTATGTTTCCTTATAATAATACCAAGAGGAAGCATACATAAATTGAAGAGCATTGGACCCAGAATAGAGCCCTGGGGGACACCACACAGAAGAGGGGCAGATGCTGATATAAACTGACCAACAGACACTGAAAAAGACCTGGATTTCAGATATGACAGAAACCAATGAAGTGCTGAACCCTTTATGCCCACTCAATGTTCCAGATGTGACTGAAGGGTGGTATGATCGACTGCATCAAAAGCAGAGCTCAGATCCAGTTAAACCAAAACTGCAATACTGCCTGAATCTAAAGACTGCAGTAAGTCAAACATTTAACAGAGTTAGAGACTTGTTAACAGAGTTGATGAATTTTAAAATATGTTGAATTCAATAAAAAATAAGGAGCATCCTGGATCTGTTTCTTCGCTCTTCTTTATTCTTTTTTTATGTATTATATAAGTATTGGATCAGTTTCGGTATTGGTAGATTCTCAAAATCGAATGACTTTACCTCTGACCCGAGGGCAAAAAAAAAAAAAACCTGATAGGTATATCCCTACTATTCATTTAATACCACTTCTCCAAACAAAAATCCAGCATATCCAGTATCTCTTTAGTCATTTGCACCTCTTATCAAATAATGCAAATTCCTCTCTGCTTCTGTTTTTATGAAGGCATCCAGGAAATCCAGTGTGGCGTCGATGAGCAATCAGGTGACATTTACCTCTCTTTTGAGAGCTGCCAAATGATGGAGAAATCAAAGTTTGTGTGGAAAAAGTCCTACCAAGAAATCACTGACTTCTCAAAGGGAATAGCCGTCAAGACATCAGGCAGCAAGTAAGCAAAAACACACATTCGCTGTGTCCTAACTACTGTAAATCTGGTCCAGATACACAGTAGCTTCCAGCATATTTAGGGCAACGCCACAGTCTGTGCATATTTAATTCCATTTGTTTTGCTTTCGCCGTCCCGCTGAACAGACACTAATATTTGCTATATTTTCCTTTAGCTCGACTTTGCTTTTCAAGAACCCAGACAAAGAGGATTTGGGCACATTCTCTGTGTCTGTTACACATACTGATGGTGTGTCCGCCAGCTACAAGATTTCAGCTGAAGGTGAGGCCTGTTAATATATTATGACTATCGAATCCATTATTAATGCTCTTCCTCAAAGTTATATAAAGTACAACGCACTATCAAAACATTCCTCTGACAGAGTCTAATCATATTCGGATTTGGGTGTAATAGATGTTGATCTGTATTAGGGATGTTTCATCATCTTCCATGAAACAGTTGGGATAATATTATATCTATTTCAAAGATCTTTCGTATTAAAAATAAAATATGATGTTGTCTGCTGCAATGTCCTTGAAAGTGTTGATAATGATGATAGTTGTCTCTGTCACCATTTGTAGAGCTGGAGAAGATGTTGGCCATAAGCTATGACATACGCAATCCAAGTAAGTAGCACTGGATGAATGATTGTAGATTATGATTATTATTCTTTTTATACTGTATTATACTGTATTTAAAGTGCTCACCATATATAAGTACACTGCTCACAAATCTCTCATTTAAATTAATATTTGCTATAGGAAGCTTTACTATTATATTTGTGCATATACAGTGCATCCGGAAAATATTCATAGCGCATCACATTTTCCACATTCTGTTTCCACTGATCATTCTTGAGATGTTTCAGCAGGTTATTTGGAGTTCACCTGTGTTAAATTCAGTTGATTGGACATGATTTGAAAAGGCGTACACCTGTCTATATAAGTTCCCAGGGTTGACAGTGCATGTCAAAGCAAAAACCAAGCATGAAGAAAAAGGAATTGTCTGTAGACCTCTGAGACAGGATTGTCTTGAGGCACATGGCTGGGGAAGGATACAGAAAATGTTCTGCTGCTCTGAAAGTTCCACTGAGCACAGTGGCCTCCATCATCCGTAAGTGGAAGATGTTTGGAACCACCAGGACTCTTCCTAGAGCTGGCCGGCCATCTAAGCTGAGTGATCTAGGGAGAAGGGCCTTAGTCAGGGAGGTGATCAATAACCCGATGGTCACTCTGTCTAAGCTCCAGCGTTCTTCTGTGGAAGGAGGAGAAACGTTAAGAAGGACAACCATCTGTGCAGTAATCCACCAATCAGGCCTGTATGGTAGAGTGGCCAGATGGAATCCACTCCCCGCCTGGAATTCGCCAAAAGGCATCTGAAGGACTCTCAGACCACAAGAAACAAAATCCTCTGGTCTGATGAGACTAAAATTTTACTTTTTGGAGTGAATGCCAGGTGTTTTGTTTGGAGAAAACCAGGCACCACTCATAACCAGGCTAATACCATCCTTACAGTAAAGCATGGTGGTGGCAGCATCATGCTATGGGGATGTTTTTAGCAGCAGGAAATGAAAGACTAGTCAGGATAGAGGGAATGAAGATGAATGCAGCAATGTACAGAAACATCCTGAATGATAACCTGCTTCAGAGTGCAATTGACCTCAGACTGTGGTGACGTTTCATCTTCCAGCAGGACAATGACCCTAAGCACACTGCCAAAATATCAATGGAGTGGCTTCACAACAGCTCAGTGAATGTCCTTTAGTGGCTCAGCCAGAGCCCAGACCTAAATCCTATTGAACATTTCTAGAGAGATCTGAAAATGGCTGTACACCATTGCTACCTATCTAACCTGATAGAGCTTGAGAGATACTGCAAAGTGGAATGGGCAACAATTCCCAAAGACAGGTGTGCCAAGCTTGTGGCATCATATTCAAAAAAGACTTGAGGCTGTAATTGCTGCCAAAGGTGCATCAACAAAGTATGGAGCAAAGACTGTGAATACTGATGTTTTTTTTGAGGAAATAAATGAATTTAATCCATTTAAAAAAAATGATGTTCCATAAAAAAAGTGGAAAAAGTGAAGCGCTATGAATACTTCCGGGATGCACTGTACATTAGATTAGTCAGTACTGAAGCCAAATCTGGAGCTTATCTAGCAAAATGAGTGCACTATGTTATATGTAGGCCCAAAAGGAATCTGCGCACGCAAAAATCTGCAGATTTCTGCAGATTTTTAGCACATCATTGAGTCTATTTACTTTTGTAAATGTGTGTAAATTTATATTTCTTCAGTTTTTAAATTAATTTCAGTAATGTTATTGATTAATATGAAAGTGTTCATATGATTGAATTACAATACAGTTTGTAAAGTTATATTTTCTGTCTAATAGCAGATATTTAAGAGACTTGCTTTGTTTTGTCTAGTTGGATTTGCATTGTAAACATTAAATAATAATAAATAAAGCTATAATAAAGCTATTATTTTTAATTCATATATTAAGTTTTTAGTTATGATACTCCCAATATAACTTAAAAAAAAAAATTCCGCAAAACTATTCTGTCGGCCCTACTTAAATGTTATAAAGAGCAAAATGTTTTATGAAATTTAGTTGGAATTTTGTAGTTTGTATTTTTTCCCCAATATTTTCCATGCATTTAAATGCATTATCTTTCTATTTCTAAAGATGTTTGATGACTAAAATATCATTTTATTAAATATATCCATTTAATAAATCTGACACTTTACAATTACACACTACGAGTCATCTATAAAGCATTAGCAAATAGTTAGTTCATTATCTGTCAGACGTTAGTATGCAGTTTATAAATACAGCTACAAATGCTATTTTACAGCTATTTTCATTCTTTATTACTGATTATTTGTTCATTTCTAAATTCAGTATTGCATTATTTATAAACCATTTGTTTTTAAGAGTAGTTGGTGGCTTTTAAATCGTTAAGAATGAGTTAGAAAATTATTAATAAACTAGTCAAATCAACATTTATATATTTCATTATTCAGGCATATAGTAAGGGTTACTATGTATGTTATTAAATGCTTTATTAACCAAACTTCATGTAGTTTTGTGACCTAATCTAAAGTGAGGACTATTTATGCTTTGTGAATCGTTTATAAATGACAATTAAAGACTTAGTTATCTTCTAAACAGGAAAAAAAAAGAAAAGAAACAATGTTAGTAATTTCTATTCATTTGAACTTACGCAATTGAAACTGCATCAAATGAAAAATAAATCTTTGCAATATTTTGTTTAATAAAATTACTGTATCAATAAATCCCTCATTAATGACAATTAAAGGCTTAGCATCAAATGAACAAAAAATGTTTGCAATCTTATCTAAAAAAACACACAATTACTGTAAACTTTACTTATTTGTAATCTGTAAACTTAGTAATTTGCTATGTTTCCTGTTTTATAAACCACTAGCATGATATCTCTTTTACCAAAGTTAAAGAGTTGTCACTGTAATAAGTGCTGTGGCTTATTGCTTAAAATAAACTACAGCAATGTCAGATTGTCATTCCTCTTGTGTCACAGTTATTCCTCTGAAGACTGAGCTGGCCTATAAGATTCTAGAGAGAGGCCGTATGCGCTTTTGGCTGCAAGCTGAGGGCATCTCCTCATCTGTGACCTACAAATTCTTTGCCAATAACAAGGAGCTTGTCAACTGCGAGGTAAAGGACTGTCACAGATAAAATGGCACAAACATTCCCAGCCTTCATAATATCATGATGAAAATCAGCCAGTTTTATATGGGGAGGGACAGTTTACCTTTCGTTTTAAAGTTGTCTTTGTTTACTCAACATCAGACACATCAATGACTTTCTTCTGTGGGACATTAAAGAGATAGTTCACCCACAAATGTAAATTCTGTCATCATTTTCACACCCTTCACTTGTGCAATTTCTTTCTTCTGTCAAACACAAAAGAAGATATTTCAGAAAAATCTGGTACCCAATATCTTATTTCTAATATATCAGTGGGTACCGGCAAGTATCATTCTTCAAAATTAAACATATAAAACCACATGAGGGAAAGTAAATGGTGAGGTAATTGTATTTTTTGGCTAAACTATCCCTTAAAAGAAGATTTTTACCATCAAACGCACTTATGCATTTCTGACCACTGTAATTATATCACCAAAAAATAATAATTGTTAATAATAATAATAATAATAATAATAATAATATGTAATCATATAGGTTATTAAATTATTTGAATATAATATAATATAATATAATATAATATAATATAATATAATATAATATAATATAATATAATATAATATAATATAATATAATATAATATAATAAAGACAAATTGATATTGATACACTATAGCAGAAAAGTCATTGATCTTGGTCTCGATCTGTAAATGTTCTCCATTCACATTCACATTGAACTGAAAAGCATTTCAGACACAATTCTTGAGTTTTTTGCGGGGGCAGCTTAATTGTTTTTTTTTTTTGTTCGATTCACTTAAATTTGTGCAAAAAAAAAGTTAACTTAATTTATGTTGGGACGACATGAAGGAATTGTGTGGGTGTTACAATCACCAGTGACCCAAGCTTGCAGATTGCTGGTAAACTTGCACCATCATCCGGACTATGATTCTGTCAACTTATGAACTATAAATCCCATCATGCACCTCACACACACCTGTTCCACATCACCAATGATTAATTAAAGACTACACTGTAAAAAGAGGAAACTTAAACAAATTACTTTGACTTGTTACAATTAAATGAATTAAGTTAGACAAACTTAATTTATAACAGTTTTCAGTAATAAATTTAGTTGTTTAAGGTGTAAGAGGTTTTAGTAAGTTATTTATGGCAAGTATAAGTATTGTTCGCTATCAATATTAAGCAATACTTGTATTTGCCACAAGACATTAAAGTACTATTTTTATATTAAGAAGGGAAGGTAACTATTTTTACTTTAATAAAAGTACTTTTTACTATAATTATTATAGTTATAGTATGATTTGTACTGTACTGTATGTACTGTTCCATTACTGTTTTCTAAAATAAATTACTAAAACCCGTTACACCTAAAAGAACTCAATTTTTTTTACTGAAAACTGTTATGAATTAAGTTTGTCAAACTTAATTCATTTAATTGTAATGAGTCGAAGTAATTTGTTTAAGTTTTCATTTTTTACAGTGTATATCAGACCCAACAGCTTTTCAAGATTTTTTTTTTTTTTTTGCAAAAAAAAAAAAAAAAAAACATTTTGTGTGGTGATTGAGTAATTGATTTTGTGGTGGTAATTCAGAAAAAAAACACAAACAAACACAGTACTATGTTGTACTAGGTTGTCTATACTGTGGTGTTGTTGTGAAAATGAACTTTATTTCTTTATTTCCTGCAGCTGAATCTCCATCTGATGGTCATCTTTGTCCACATTTTTTGCCCCGCTAATGTCTAAAGGGAAAGGCGCGTTTACGTTTTAAAGAAGTCGATACTGCATATTTGATGATGTAGCGTTTTAACGTCAACGCATTCAGGCAAAAGATCCCAACACGATTAATTTATACAACTCTAAGTCGACTATTTCGTTAAAGATTCAATAGTTTTAATCACTTTCAGATTTAAACCTCAGCTGCATGTTTCCATTCAATTAGTGCTTTGTTACACACTGCATGGAAGGTCATTTTCAAAAACTGCTTTAGGTGAATCCTCATTCTGATGTCACTCGACTTTCTAGTTACAGTGGCTTCTACACAATTCCAAAAATGCTGGGTCTCACACAACCCCTTCATGTCATCCATATGCAAAATCGTTTAAGGTAACTTAATGTATTAGTTTTTAAAATGTTAAGTTGATTGAACAGTTAAGCTGCCTCAAAAAACTCAAGAGCTCTGTTGCTTCAGCTCTTTTTAAATAAGTAGTTAGAACAAGCAGAAAAATATATACTTTTTGAGCGCATACAGGTTTCGTATTTGATGACAGAATTATCATTCCAGGTGAATAATCCTTTTAAGTTTAGCTCCAACTGTGCGGCGCAAGAAAACATAACCCATCCGAATAAATAGATTCAGCTCCTTCGCAATACTACCATCTGTTATGCTTCTCTGTTCCATTTGCGTGAGCCTCCTAAGAAAAGCCCAGGAGAGAAATGTTTACCTCTTTCGCTTTTTTTCACAGCAAACTAAAATGAGTCACGACGCAGCTACAGGCATTATTGAGATGGTGATGGATCATTTCACTGACGACAGCGAGGGCACTTTCACCGTGCAGATCCAAGATGGCAGAGCCAAGGCCCAGTCCTCTCTCGTGCTTATCGGAGATGGTGAGAGCCATGCGTCGCTCTAGGGTTTTTGCAGCTCTCATCTTGCGATATTGTGCTGCGCTGTTGAACTCTACCCACTGACCTCTAATGGTTCTTGCTTTATTTTTCTGTTCCAGCCTTCAAGGCAGCGTTGGCTGAGGCAGACTACCAAAGGAGGGAGTACATTCGTGTAAAAGAGGGTACTGCATCCATTGCCTTGATGTAGCTGTTGAAATAAACTCTTTTACAAACAGGCTTTGCATCACTGACAAAAATGGGTGTTGTGAATAATTCTGCCATCATGTTCTATTTGCTTTTTTTCTAAACCTGTATGAATTTTTTGCTTTTGTAGGAACAACTTATATGTTAAACATTAAAATATAAAACCCACACTTAGTTACAGTCTAAGGCAAAATTATTAGCCCTCATGTGAATTTTTTTTATTATTATTATTTTTAATTTCCCAAACAGAGCGAGGACACTTTCACAGTATTTCCTCCAATGTTTTTTTTTTTTTTTTCCTTCTGGTGAAAGTCTGATTTGTTGTAGTTTAGCAGGAATATAAGCAGTTAAAAAATGTCAAAAATTAAAAAAAAGTCAATATTATTTCACAACTGAAAAATTATACATGGTGGGCCGTTGTTATGGATACACCTTAATAAATGGGAATGGTTGGTTATATTAACGTCCTGTTTGTGGCATATTAGTGTATGTGAGGGAGCAAACTTTTTAAGATGGGTGGTGACCATGATGGCCATTTTAAAGTCAGCCATTTTGGATTCAACTTTTTTTTTTTTTTTTTAGGAAGAGGGTCATTTGACACATTAAACTTATTGGGAATTTCACAAGGAAAACAATGGTGTGCTTGGTTTCAACGTAACTTTATTCTTTCATGAGTTATTTACAAGTTTCTGACCACTTATAAAATGTGTTCAGTGTGTTGCCCATTGTGTTGTATTGTCAATGCAACCCTCTTCTCCCACTCTTCACACACTGATAGCAACATCGCAGGAGAAATGCCAGCACAGGCTTCCAGTATTCGTAGTTTCAGGTGTTGCACATCTTGTATCAACACACCATAGACAACTGCCTTCAGATGACCCCAAAAATAAAAGTCAAAAATAAAATTAAAAAGGGGTCAGATCGGGAGACCTTGGGGCCATTCAGCTGGCCCACGATGACCAATCCACTTTTTAGGTGACTGTTCATCTAGGAATGCTCAGAGCTGACACCCATAATGTGGTGGTGCATCATCTTGCTGGAAAAACTCAGGGCACGTGCCAGAATGGCCCCACTATCTTTGTTGTCTATGTTGTGAAGAAACAAGGTGTGCAGCACCTAAAATTACGGATACCGGAAGCCTGTGTAAGCGATGTAAAGTTGGGCGTTTTACCATAGGAAGTCTATGGGATCGACTTCCATTTTGTAGCCAGCCTCAAGTGGTCAGTTGATGAACTGCAGTTTTTTTCACTGCCGTGTTGGCGGAGGAAGATTGAGAGGTTGCTGCATTGCATTGCAAAACAATTAAAAAAATTATTTTAATAAAAAATAAAATAAAATTAGCAGCTGTGGTTCCCAGAACTTTGTTTAGTAATAAAGTAGAAATGTATGGTAAACTACAATTTACGCAACGCTTAATACAGTATTAACGCACCAATGTTTTGAAGTACTAACATGTAAACATTGTACCTTTGTTACACAGCTCATCACATCCAGCTTATCCGCAAGCAGAGTAACAAACTAATATATACAGTGGTGTGAAAAAGTGTGTGCCCCCTTACTGCTTTCCTATTTTTGGTTTGTTTGAGTTTAATCAGTTTTAGATCATCAAACTAATTTAAATATTAGTCAAAAATAACATAAGTAAACATCATGCAGTTTTGAATTGCATATTTTTATTATTAAAGGAAAATAAAATCTAGCCCTGTGTGAAAACGTGTAATACTGTCATTTTATAAATATTAAAAAAGCATCACTTTAAGTTAAGGCGACACTTACAGATGTTTCATGCACTTACTGAAGTAATTACAATGAGTTAAATGTAACTCTAAACCTTACCCACATTTGAACCCCATACATAAGTACATGTAAGTGAATAATATCACCTGGTAGTTAAATGAATAGTTACACTTTAACTGTGTCACCTTAAAATAAAGTGGAAAATCTAGAAAAGACAGACTATTAGGTAAATAATATATTTGTATGAAGACTTAATAAAAAAAAATGTTGGAGTTACTTCTGATAATGTGCCTCATCATTGTGGATATTAAGTTGGTTTGATGCTTTTCCAATGTCGTTTTCCAGGCCCTCACTTTACCGAGTTCCTCTCTGTTCAAATTGGGGACAATGCCTCTGTCACTCTTATTTGCAAGGCAAGTTAAATTGGAATGACTTATCCAAAACAAACGGAATGTCTTGGACAGACTAGATATATGTTTGGGTTTTCTTGCGTGTCTGACCCATTTCAGGTGGCCAATTTGAAGAAGGAGTCTGCGTTCCATTGGTATAAGGACGATGTAGAGGTGATTCCCGAGGTGCCTGCTGACTTGACCTCAGGAGTCTGCAAGTTCCCTCTAACTAATGTGAGCGCCTCTTTTCATAAACACTTGAGATTAAAAAAATAGCTAATTGATACTTTTTGATGTTCATAAGTGTTTATTGTACATATGAAGTAAATCAAAAAGCCTTAAAATTTTAATGTTAAAAAGTTAGGCCACTTTATTTTAATTAGCAATGTATACTATTAAGAAACCATTAACTACGTATTTTAGCTAGTTCGCTGTGTGCAAAAAGGCTATTCGAGAAAGTGAAAGCATGATGTTTCAGATGGAGCCCGGAGGACTTTTATTATGAAAGAGCAGATCGCTACACGCTGCTTATTAATAGTTAGTAAGATAGTAGAAATAAGATCATACTTTATAAGTGCTAACAAACAGTTCATATCTTTTTGTGCATGTAATAAGCCAGACCATGGTGTGAAGTTTTACTTAAACTGTTACCATAAGTTTTATTTAGGATAAATATACTTCTCAAAATAATAAAGGAAACCCTTGGGCAATGCATTGTGTTGTTAAAGTGGTCCGTTTATTTTTTGAGCAGTACTGTATATGAACTCACCGTCCACTTTATTAGGTGCACCTGTCCACCTGCTCGTTAATGCAAATTTCTAATCAGCCAATCACATGACAGCAACTCAAAGCATATAGGCATGTAGACATGGCGATCTGCTGCAGTTCAAACCAAGCATCAAAATGGGGAAAAGGGGGGATTTAAGTGACTTTAAACGTGGCATGGTTGTTGGTACCAGATGAGTTGGTTTGAGTATTTCATAAACTGCTGATCTACTGGGATTTTCACACACAACCATCTCTAGGGTTTACAGAGAATGGTTCGAAAAAGAGAAAATTTCCAGTAAATGGCAGTTCTGTGGGCACAAATGCCTTGTTGATGCCAGAACTCAGAGGAGAATGGCCAGACTGGTTCAAGCTGATAGAAAGGCAACAGTAACTCAAATAACCACTCGCTACAACCGAGGGATGCAGAAGAGCATCTATGAATGCACAACATATTAAACCTTGATGCAGATGGGCTACAGCAGCAGAAGACCTCACCGGGTGCCACTCCTGTCATCCAAGAACAGTACACTGAGGCTATAATTTACACAGGCTCACCAAAATTGGGCAATAGAAGATTGGAAAAACGTTGCCTGGTCTGATTAGTCTCGATTTTTGTTGTGACATTCGGGCATGAATTTGGCATCAACAACATGAAAGTATGGATCCATCGCATGTTAAAACTGTTGCAAATCCTACAGCGTTCACCTGATTTGGATGTAAACACCCTTAAATTAAAGATGACAATGTGCAGTTAAAGCACATCTTGTATGTTTCATTTCAAATAGACTATGTTGGTGTATAGAGCCAAAAATGAATCGTGTCAATGTCCCAATATTTATGGACCTAACTGTATCTACTAAAAGGCAGATAATATTACTTTACAAACTGTGTTATAAA